CTGGAAAATAGGTTCTTTTTTTTTTTTTTTCCCCTTTTTTTTTTTTTTTTTTTTTTCCCTTTGTTTTTTTTTTTTTTTTTCCTCTCGGGCAGCTAAGAGTTGTCACCGAGTCTGAGAGGCCCATTTAGAGGAAAACGAGCCTCCGAGGAGAATTGAATGCTTGCTTTTCAGCGGCTGCTGCTTGAACAGTCTGCTTTGCTTTTGGGGCAAGGCAGGATGCAAACACCCAGATTTGTTTAGAGCTTTCCCAATCCCTGCCTGTGTGCATGTGTGTGGATACACAGCCATAAAAATCAGAGGGGCTTGGGCTGCTAGGAACATGTATTAGTCACAAAACGAAGCAAACATTTAATTGAAAAGGCTCTTTAACCTGAGCTGATATACTGGATGGGATTCTGTGGGAATTTATCACTTCACTGGGTCTGTTTTGGGGTGTATTTTGCATTTTATTGCCGTTAGGCTGGATTTTGACCGAGATTAATTAATTCAATTTAACGCAGGTCAAGACATTTTTGTGACAGAAGTTATTTTTTTGTGGAAAAGGCTGATTTGTGGAGATTTTTTTGCTGTGAGCAGTTTGGGGTTTGTGCTTATTCCTTCCTACCCCCAATTCTGAATATTGGGGGTGAGGTTGTTTTTTTTCCCCTGGTTTCTTTTTGTTTTGTTTTGTTTTTGTTTGTTTGATTTGGTTTCGTTGGTTTTTTCCTTGGTTGGGTTGTTTTTTTTTGTTTTGGGGGGCAGGCCGTGTTTTGGTGGGGTTGTTTCCTTTTGTTTTGTTTTGTTTTGAAAACAAGCTACAAAGTTTCAAACCGAAGACAGTATTTTGCTCAAGCCCACCTTGTTTTAAAAACTCATCTAATTTCTGTAAACGTTTAACAAAGAAATTGGCCAATGGAAACATTCTGGAGCGATGCTCTTTTTCAGGTGTTTTTGGGTTTTTTTTTGAACTGCCTTTTGAATTTCTGACCTTTTTATGTATTTTGGCTTTTTTTTTTTTTTTTTTTTATTTGATTTTTATTTTTGATACCTCTTGGGGCGAAGGGAAGGCTTCTTGCAAATGCCTGCCAGCCAAGAGATGAAGGTGTTCTCTGATCTATGAATCACCCACCCACCAGCCTCCAGACAAGGGGGTACCAAGTAGACTATTTAAAACAGGTAAAAGGGAATAAAAGACCTTTATGTGAACTTTTCTGAGCTGCTCGAGGAGTTCCCAGGTCACACTTGGGATCCCCTTAATGGCTTTTGCCTCTCTGCTGAATTCCTCTCAATTTACCACCCCAGAGAAGGAGGATGTTCCTTCCCCACCCCATGGGAAATACAACCCTGGAGTTCATTCCACTGCAACCTGTTCTGAGCCTTCCCCCCATGGATTTTGGGGGAATTGGGTTGATTTCTACCATTTTAAGGCCTAGGCAATGGATTAATTCTGCAGTCTGGGCTTCTGGGTCATTCAGGCACCCATTTCACTGCCACCAGCAGTGGCACAGGTTGCAAAATATTTCCTTTCTGCTGACATTCTTTTTTACCACAGTAAAATTGCCTTAATATATGAGCCAAAATAGGGTTTTGAGACATGTTAATCTTATTCTATACATGCCCTGCCTTTTGCAAGCAGGGCCACGTTGAAGCCCTGAAATGCCACTGGAATATTTTGTGCTCTCTGTCCTTTCTGGGCTGGGTAGGTGTTATAAGCTCTGTTGTTGTCAATGTGTCTCCTTTCTCCTGTCTGGAATGAAAAATAGCTCCTCTCTTTGATCTTCCCCTCATTTGCTAAAAAGTAACCAAAAATAATCCCCCCCCTCCCTTTTTTTTTTATGTTGGGGGGAGGTGGTGAAATGTGCCAGGATTCAACAACAACAACAAAAAAAATAAATTGAGACCCTCCTTTTCAGTGCTTACTAACTGTGAAACATAAAATCCCTGTCCAGGTAAAAAATTTGAGTTGTCATAGCAACAGCAGGATGGCTATTTATTTTTGGATTTCCATTTTCACTGATTTATTTAACACATTGACAATCCATTTATAATGAAGAGGAATTCAAGAGGGTTTTTGTTTCTGGCTGGGTTTATACTGAGCCAAGCTTGGGTTACTTTTCACCAGAGAAAATAAGCAAAGATAAAAGAGGCAAATAAAAAGGAAACCTTGTGGCTTTCTGGGGGTTTTCTTGTAGGCAAATACGGGTGCTGGGTGGTGCAGGGGAGAGGGAAACCGTGACTGACTTGTTTATTTTGTGTCTTTTAGAAGAACCTTAGTGCTGTAAAGCAGAACAAGGGTTTAAGTCCAGCTGTGGGAGCCCCAGATTGTCACCTCCACCTGCCCTTGCCTGCATGCACACACTGCCAGGAACAGGGCAGCAGAGCCACTGGAAGGGGCTCCACTGCTCCATCTCCTTGCAGAAGCCAGGGAATGCCTCAAAGCCGTGGAAAAAAATCCGTATTTCTCATTTTGGCAGCGACCTCTCTGTGCTCAGTGCGGTTCTGAGGCTCAGGTTTGTCTGCTCTCCACAGTGTTTGTGTCCACCCAACCTCTGATCCAGGGCTTGGAAGGACTCACAGAGCAGCCTGGAGTTTGGAGAGCCCAAATACACTCCATCCCAAAAGTATGTAAATGGCCTTTAGCTTTGGGGTGTTGGTGCTGAAATGGGCCGTGCTCTGTGCTCAGGAGTGGATTGTTTGCAGGCCCAAGGGTGGCAGGAGCCCCTCGGCCACTCTGGAAGGTTTTGTGGGGGATGACTGAACCCATCCCTGGATGCACAGCCAGCTCTGGAGCCAAGCAAACAGGCACCCACAGAATCAGGGATTTTCAGAGCTTAGAGCAGTGTAAGTGCACTTGGGTAACGGTAAAATGCCCCCAAACGCCCCCAAAATCCTATAACTTATGAATTCCTCTGTATCTCCCTCCATGGAGATTTAATTCCAGTGGATGCCTTTGAAATCCCACCCAATTCACCTGCCAGAGGAACCAAATCAAACTTCAACATTTGGTGACTCTTGAAAGCATCTGAAGACTGGGAAGTTTGGGGCAGGTTTTTGGAAGCAAAGCAGTGAAATCCAAGTGGAATCACCCGGGGAGAGCAAACCCAGCAGATTTTCTGCTGCAGAACCTGGCTGGGAGCACACAGTCCCTGCCTGGGTTTTCTCCCAGCCTGTCTCTCTCTCTCTCTCTCTCTGCATTTGCTCTGCAGGTTGGTTCCTCTCTGGGATTTGTTTCCTCTGATGGATTCGGGCGACTGAGATTGATGGCTTTAAAAAAAGGACTGGTATTGATGACACACTTGTGAAGCTCAGGGAAAATTGTGAGCCTGGCAAGAGACTGGGGGAGGGAAACCTTCAACCATTTTCTTCTGCTGTTGCCGTTTGGGGCATCAGCCTGGGCTGGTTCCAAGCCAGGAGGGCAGCAGCTGAGCAGAGGAAGTGTTGCACTTTCTGGCCAAACCTGTGAATTTGTGAAGCCTGGGCTTGGTTTTGGATCAGGAAAAGGTAAGGTTTGACCTGTGTGTCAGAAAAAAAAAAAAAAATCAAGTGCTATTTCTGGCTGGGATCTGGAGCCTGCAGAGGGGAGAGTCATGTCCAGCAGTCACTGGTGCTTCCCCCCTTTATCCTGGTGGAGCATCAGACTGTCCTTGGGGCTGAGAGTGGGGGAAGGGTGGGAAAACCCAAGAAATCAACTTCCAGACATAAATACAATATGGACAAGTCATAAACATTATTAAAGCAAGTCTATCCCTGCAGGGCAGGTTTTTGCTCATAATGCTTTCCTGATTGCGCTTCCGCAGAGCTGGGGGAGTGAATAGTGGGCTGATTATCCATGGCCCATGATCTACATGAGTGCAAAACTGTTCCCTTTGTATGTGAGCAGGGAACTTTGCATATTCACTGCCAGGGAATAGCCATCCTGCTTCTTATTCCCTCTTCAGATTCACAGTGGGCCTGATCCCAAACACGGCCACGTCAATGGGGTTCTTTGTCTGGGCCCTCCTTGTGTCCCACATTACCATTGCAAAACCTGCCCTGTTTGTCATCTTAAATATACAGGCCATAAATGGGCCTGGCAGTGACACGGGGTGTGATCACACCCCAGGCTGATTCACCAAACCCTTTGGTAGGTCAAGGGATAGGCAAAGGCAGAATATAAGGGGGAAAAAACCCCCAACAGTTCAAAAAATGACTCTGTGACTGATTAACGAAATTGTCTCTAATTGTTGTTGCTTAAAAAGATCAAAACCCTTGAGAGAAATCCAAGTCTTTTTCCATGGTGCTTTCTTGGAGCCTGACTCCAGTTGTCCAGCTCATCTGGAGCATCATGGAGTGTCCTGAGTTGGAAGGGACCCACAAGCATCCCAGTGGCTTTGTTACAGGGGAGAGCCCAAATGGGATCCGTGGGCAAGAGTCAGAAAGAATCTCATGTTGTATAAAGATTGATGTTGGCAACAATATCCCATAAAAGGCCACTTATGCCTGACACAGTCAGAGTAGCAAAGACTTTTTAAGCAGATGCAAAAGGTGCAGCAGTTTCATTATTCAATTATGGCAGAGCTTTTCCCAACAACTTAATGAACATTCACTTGCAATGTGTTAAACCACTTTTTCTGTTAAATGTAAAGATCAGTGCTAGGAGCTATACATTGTGCAAGATAATTGCACCATGTAATTCTGGTGCTTCAACAATTTATACTGAAATATTGATGGATATGTTCCAACATTCTTCTTCTCTTTTTATTTTTTTTTTTCCCCTCACAAGCATATTTCATAATCTTTTAAATATCTCTCCCCTGAAAACTTTAATGTGAAGCACAAATCCCCTTATGTAATAGAAGTTTAATGCATCTGGATATTGCTAACCAAACAAAAGCTTTTCAGGCCCACTTCTACTTTCAGAAATAAAGGATGCTGTTAACATAAGGTATTGTGAATATGAATTTATGAGGAATGTGCCATAGCAGAAGGGCATGACTAAGGAAAAGTTAAGAGCTCCCCTTTAATATTAGAAATATGAAGTATTTTTTTTTCTGATTTCTTATGGGCATAGCTAAGAATAAAAAAAAACAATTTTTCAAATGGGAATTTAATGTTAAGTGACACTTTGCATAATCTGCTTAGGAAAGGCACTCTGGAGTTGTACTGTCTGTGGTTCCAGCATTGACCCAAGACTTGTAAATTGAACTAGAAATGCAGGGAGGTTAAACAGAGCAACGAGGAGCATCTCAGAGAAGGAACCTCGCTCATAAACTGTGGTTGGAACAGTTGGTTCAAGGGGTTTGTATGTTTGCTGTAAAAATAGAACTTGAATCAAGCAAGTAATAGTCATTAGTAAGTAGTCAGGATGAAGCATTTGGTTGTGAAATTATACAGACTGTGCAGAAATCTCTTGGGTTTGCTCTAGGAGGAAAGGCTTGGAAGATTCCTGGGTGCTGAGAGCTCTGCCTCGGGCTGGTGGGAGAACTGGCAGAGGGAAGCTGAGGGGGTTACCTGTGACAGAGCCCTTGGTTCCTTTATGTGAACAAAGCACAAACTGCAGAGAAAGACCTGTGAATTCCAGTAAATGATCCTGGAATTTGCCCCAGTGTCCTGTTTAGTTGTGACCCTACGAAGCAGTTTGTTACTCCCCAGAGCACATTGTGCCATGGGCTTGTTCTGTTTACCTGCAGAGTTCTCTCTCCTACCTTTGTCTGACAGTTTTATCTCTCTTTTGTTGCATCTTTCTTGTTCTGTGTCTCTGTCCCATCCCTAGAAGTGTTCAAGGCCAGGCTGGATGGGGCTCTGAGCAACCTGGGCTAGTTGAAGGTGTCCCTGCCCATGGCAGGGGTGGAACTGGATGGACTTTAAGGTCCCTCCCAACCCAAACCACGCTGGATTCTATGAAAATGCCACATTTAGGCTCAGATCTGTTTTCTGACCCAGACTTGGACTGGAGCCTTTCCTGTCCCAGGTGAGAACTTGCCCTCTTGGGCCAGCAGCTTCTCTGTTTGAGGAATATCACTTAAGGTCCCTTCCAACCCAAACCATTCTGTGGTTCTGTGGTTCCTGCCCATCTGCTGAAGATTTAAGCAAGGCTTGTACAGGCAACAGTTCTGAACCCTGTTAGTTGTCCCCAGCCCTGTCCTGGGAAGTCCCCTGGCTGACAATGAGCCATAGATCAGCCTTGCCTCCCCTCAGCCCTTGGCTCCCTCACCCAGCCCATGAGATGGATGCTCGCTGTGAGAATGGTGCTGACATTTGCTCACCAGGGACTGGCATGGGACCATCATTTCATGTCCTATAGGTCCCCAGGAAGAACCAGATGCTAATGAGTGCCAGGCCATTAGAGGCCTGGCTTGCACTCCAGCTCCAGTGTCCTAAACTGCCTGTCCTGAGCCCATTATCCATTGTAGCTGCTGGGGGTTGCTGCAGCCTGCCCTGTCAGCAGAGATGTTGCACAACCAGCCAGTGACCACCCAGGGCTATTCTCTTTAGGCTGGATGCCATCTTTTCTGGGCAAGTGTACAGATCATGTCTTGAACTGTGCCAGACACGCTGTTTGTGGTTCACTTCTGCTCATGAGCCTGGCTGAACAAAAAAGGAGATATATATACGTATATATATATTTATATCTGTCCCAGTGGTGTTCACGTCCAATCTGACATCCAGTAGATGGCCCTTGGGGATTCTAACGAGGCACCCACTGCTGTACAGCGTGTTTTGGCAACCAGGAGGGGTGGCAAATCCCCTGCCTGCCTTTCTTCTGCAAGTCTTCATGTTTCTTTTTGGCACATCCACGCAACGAAGATCAAGATGCAAGTACTGCCAAAGCTTCTTGTAGAATAGATGACATTTATATTGTTATGCAGTTTGCTGATCTAAACATACCATTGCCTTGCCTTGATAGCCCAGGGCAAGTGCTAATCAGCTTGTTTTGTGGGCACCATGCCATCTGAAAGGGGGGACACAAATAGAGACAGTATGTGCATCATCCACGAGCGTTGCAAGAACACGATTCCCAGCTGAGAGTATCGAAATGTGTCGGTCCCCTGAGCGTGTTGGCATGGAAAAGAGAAGTGACAGCGTTAAATGGAAGGGATTTGGAATGAATCAAGGTTATATTCCTTAGCTGCTTCAAGTTTTCATTTATATAGGTCACGTTGTCAGCCGGTGTAAACAGGCAGGGCTGTGCTGAAAGCAGGGGGGGGTCACCAAATCTGAGCTGCTGAGCATCTGACCCCGTGTGGCTGCTCCCCACGAGGAGCTTCCCCTCTCATTTTGTCCTCTGGGGCATCATGAAAGGAGGTTTAGTCTCAAAGGTAACGTGTAAGTCGAGTTTGGGTTCCTGTGTTGTCTTCACAGCTCCGTCGCTCACACTCGGGGCTGGGCAGTTTGCCCTCTGTGTGCCCAGTGTCACCTCAGGTATGGAGCAGGACTTTGATTTAATTACTATTTTAGTTCTAAGGGCTTTAATCAAGGTTTTCTGGAATGGCAGGTGTGGTGGAATAGTTCACTTGGAGTGCTGCAGTGGATGGATGGATATGGCTCTTAGACAAAGATGTCCGCGGGACACAAGGAGAGGGGCTTGTGTTTTGTGCCAAGGAGTTTGTGTTAAAAAAGAAGAAATGTTCTAGAGGAAAATTATTGTTTAGGGAACACTGATTTGCATGAATGAGTGTTTTCACTTCAGCTGATAGTTAAAAATGGATACTTAAGCCACAGTTTAGCGTCCCAAGGAGGAGCAGTCGGGGCTGGGATCAGGGTGGGAAGGCTCCCAAAGAGGGTGTCGTGCTGGGCATCTCCTCTGAACCACCTGGCTGAGAGGAAGAGCTGAATGAAGCTGCCCTCAACAACTGGGAAAAAAAAAAATCTTCTGTCACTACAACAAGGGAAATTGGGATTAGAGGAGAAACCCCAAAGTGGGAGAGTGGTGCAGCCCTGGAGCAGGAGCCCAGCGAGGCTGTGGGATCTCCATTCCTGAGGATTTCCAGAGCTCCTGTGGCCACCAGCAGATTCCACTTTGAGGTTGTGGCCATGTCTGGAGTAGAAGGATGACTCAGGTGACTTCCAGCCGTCTTTGACACACTCTCCACGAAATACTGTTTTCCTACAAACCTCTGTGACTCTCACGAGTGTTCCCTGAATTAGCCCAGACGAGGTGCAGCCTCTCCATCCTCATCCTCGCTCCCAGGGGCATCTGAAGTGCCCTCAGTGCCACCTCCCAACCTTTGGGTGTTTTATGCACGTCCCTTCCCTCTTTCTGTGCTTTATTTGCTCGGTTGTTTCTCCCTCAGAGTGGATTTTCATGGCCATGTTTTAGGAAAACACGCTCTGGGGGTATCACATACAAACAATTACACTTGAAAACCCCTGAAGATGGACTGAAAGTGGATACTTGCAGGGAATAACAGGGGACTTTGGGTGCACAAGTAGAACTCTAATAGCTGGCTTGAGTTCATTGGGGTAATCTGGCCCTTATCCCAGCCTTTTTGAAAGATAATCATCGTTCCAAGAGAGGTTTTCATTGACTGTAGCATACACTTTATATTTCACTGTGTAATGGAACCTTCCATACACTCAAGGAAAACAATTTACAGAGCTAATTGCTGAACTCTGCAGATATAATCCTTTAAATGGGTTATGCTAGATAAGAGTTTATGTTAAAAAAGAAGAAATGTTCTAGAGGAAAATTATTGTTTAGGGAACATTGATTTGCATGAATTAATGTTTTCACTTCGGCTGATAGTTAAAAATGGATACTTAAGCTAAGACACATTTTAGTGTAACATAAATGCTTCATTAGTTGTGGTGTGAGCTGAAATCCATTGTTTGTTTGCTTTTTTATGTCCCCAAACTTCAGCTGGCGTCGGGTCAAACCGTGCCAAAGATTCCATTTTTTTAATTAAAAAAGAAAAAAAAAGCCAAAAAAGCCCTGCACGGACTCTGAGATGGGAGGATGCCTTGGAGTTCTCATTGTTACTCACTGATTTAGTTTAGACAATCCTCTCCACCCTCCTGTCTCAGCCTACTTCTCAGGGAAATTAGGGGTGGTGTTCATGATCTCACCTGACACAGTTGTCTCCGGAATTAACTGATGAATATTTGCACAGTACAATATTTGTACAGGGGTGGTGCATCCCTCGTGCTGCAGGAGCAGCCATCTGTCACACACACACATCTCTCAGATTGAAGGGCTGCAATGAACATTTTTGGGGCTTGGGAAGTCAAGGAACTTTTGCAGAACTCAGAGAATTAATTTTTTTTTTTTTTTGGTTGCTGTTTTTATGACTTATATTTTAATTCAGATTATAACCCAGGTCTGTACCTGCTGATGGTTGTTGTGGCTTTATTGCCCACACAGTCTGGGGTTATGGCACAAATAAATAAGAGTTCAGCACTGTACAGAAGGTGTTAGTAATGAACTAGACAGAATGTTTGAGTTTAATTTAAATCCATTTTCTCCCCTGTAGCCGAGTGTTGGTGACAGATTGAGAGAGAAGGAGTAAAGCACAGCATTGTGTTTTCTTCCACAGCCCAGTGGAACAAAGGGTATGTATGTTTGTTTTCCGTGGTTCTCTTTAATTATCCTGTAATTTCTGTGTTGTGTTACCTCGATTGTGTTTAGAGGAAGTTCATATATATCCAGAGAGGAAGGGATTAAGGAGGACACTCAAGCTGAGGCTTTCAGAGAGCTGGGCTCTCCAGCACTCCATGAATCAGTAAAACGTGCAGGTCACATCTCATTCCACTGTGAATTTCCCTTTTTTTCCAGGATCTGTGGTGAAATCCCTCCTGTGAACTGCACAACAAAAGCTGCCATCCCCATTCCAGGTGCTCCTTCCCACTGGCAAACAGCCTAAGGAGGAACTGTTTATAGGTGAGATGTTCCCTCCAGTCAACTGGAGGGATGAGCTTTTTGTTCCTTTCTAGTAGAGGAGTCTTGCCAGTTGTAAATTGAACTGATAATTAAGAGCTCAGAAACTTTTTAACCCGTGGATGTATTTGTACTGTATTTATACAAAAGTACTGTAAAAGCACAATATTTGCACAAAAGACTGGGATATATTGCACAAATCCATTGCTGTTACGTGCTTACAGCAACAGATTTTTAACATGGAATTGGGTGGTTGGAACTGGCTGATCTTTAAGGACCCTTCCAACCCAAATCATTCTGTGATTCTATGAAATTCCTGGGTGCAAAAATGCATGTTAACCAGAAAACGAGCTTCACTGAGATCATTAAAAACTCTCTTTTTTTTTCTTAATTTCTTTTTTTGTTTTTTTTCCCCCCCACCCACCATCCCGCTCGGAAAACCGGCCTGATTTTTGAAGCCCTTAATTAAGGATGGAAATTCAGTGTTAGGCAGATGCTGTCATTTTTTTTTCTTCCCCTACCCCTCCAGCAAAAACCCATGTGCAGTGTGCTGCCTGGGGCTCAGAGACTGCAGGATGGGATGAGCAGCATCTGCAAAACCTGCAGGGTCCTGCAGTCAGATGAGTCATGTGTTGCACGGGCAAAGTTTAATCCCAGAGAAGAAGTTCCAAGACAGGAAGAACCCCCTGAAAACAACAGGAATTGGTACAGTATTTGGGCAGTAAACACAGGTTAGAACAGTCTGGGTATTTGCTTTAATCCTCTCTGGTTCTATTTTGAATCGCTGTGTTCCTACTTGCTAAACCACTTTCCTTTTTCACTCTGTTTTACTGTGACAGAAGGAGGAGGGGATATTTTGGAAGCTGGAAAAGTGCCACTGATTTTTTTTTGCAGGTTTCTTGAACTGAGCACTGCCACTCTGGAAGTGCTGGGAGCCTCTTTCTTCCAGGGTTCCCCATAGAATTCCCACCCTCCCACGAGGCAGGACGTGCCCCAAGGTGCAGGACTCGCCTTCCTGAATGTTTGAGGGGATGAGGGAGTTTGGATTGATGGGCTCTCAGCAGCACAGAGCCAGGGAGCCCAAATATTGCCAAAAGATCAGGAGCTGAGTGTGAACAGGATGGAAAATTCCTCTGCAGTGTGGGTTGATGGAGTTCAGCATCGGGGCAAGCAAAGGTCGAGCAGAAAGGTCCAACCTGGCACGAGGCCACTCCCCATGAAGGGTTTGGCTTTGTGTTTGGGCTGGGTTGGTGCTTGTGCCAGTCCTTGCCTGGAAAATGCCTGATGATCCACATTTTAGTGGGGGATGTTGCCCAGCAGCTCATGGTGGGGAAGAGCTGGAGGCGGGTTGGATGGAGCTTTGAGCAACCTGGTCTAGTGGAAGGTGTCCCTGCCCAGGGCAGAGGGGTTTAAACAAAATGCTCTTTAAGGTCCCTTCCAACCCAAACCCTTCTGGCACTCTTTGATTTATGAGGCTTTATTTATTATATATTTTTTAATTATTTTTTCTGTTTCCTCTCGGCATAATGAAATACTCCAGGGGTGTTGCTCGTGTTCTGCCATACATTTGGGTGTGGTTTAGCAGACATTCCAGGTAGTCAACCTCAAACCATGTCCCACAGTGAGGCCTCTTTTAGAGAGCAGTAAACAAATCTCACTTCTACTTCTTCGTTTTTACTTTTTTTTTCCCTTCTCCCCTGAGCCAAAATTCGGGAAAGTCATTTAGTGTCACCTAGGTGGCTTTTAATAGAGGCTTGGAACAAGAAGGAAAAAACCCCTCTTGTGCCCACTTGTTTCTTAGGTCACGTTGCCCACAGCTCGTCTCACCACTCCCTGAGAAAGTTTGTCTAAGTCCTAAAATAATTCCACGCTGCTGGCCCACAAATATTCCCATTTGGTCATCTTTATATAGAGTAATTACTGTTTAACATGGCACCACAGCTGGGCCGGGGCTTATTTTGGGTTAGGAGATATAAAAAGCTGTTTGTAATAAATAAATAAAATTACTGGGTTTGTTGCTCTGTCATTCTAAACAAATGAGCCCAGAGACTTGTTAGTTTGCTTATTCTTTTCTGCTTGTTTTGCTTTAAGAGTCAGCATTTGTGAGAGGCTTTGGTAGCAAAGGTATCCATCCTGGCTAATTTAGACAAGCCCGCACTTCAGTGACCAAAACTCTAATTTTTGGGTGTTGTGGTGACACCGAGGGAGCTCTGTGGGGTGGCACATGCCCAGGGAAGGGGGTCAAGCCTTAACCAGTGGGTACAAGTTCATTTTCCTCAGCAGGTGATGGGTGGGAAGAAGCACCTTGAGGGAAAGGTCTTGGCTCTGTGCTGTCCTCCAAACAGGTATTTGAATTTCTGTGCTGGCCACAGAGCAAGCAGCTCATTCCCACAGCTCTCTGGGTGCCATCAGCATTTTTTCAGGCCATGCTGACTCCAACATCAAAGTTCTTTCTAATTTTAATAACTTTGATATATATATATATATTTATCCACATGTATTTTATATTTGTTCATATATGGATATATGTGTGTGTGTGCAGCCAGAGAAAAGGAAAACAGGGCCATGTATATCCATGTGGCATTTCTTATCTGTCCCTAAAATACAGGTGTCTCTGTGGGAAACAGGTTGTGAAGCTGTTTATTGTCCAAGAGTTCAGGAAGTTGAGGGTGTTATATTCACTTACACTGCTCCCCAGGCTGGGCTGATCATTTCACCTCAAAAATCAGCATCAAAGTCGATCTCACAGAAGACCCCAATATTTTTAGTAGTCATGGGAAGGAATGTTGTCCACTGGGACAGAGGCTGTGGGTCAGGACTCAGGGTTTGGTTGTCTTTTGCTGCTTATTTTGTGGCCTTGGGCAATTCTTAACACTCTTCTGTGCCTCTCTTTAATAGGAAAATGGGACCAGTTCTCTTGCAGAGAATTATTTAAAGGGGAAATTGAAGTTTGGAGACCTTTTACCGGCCTCTGGCATCAGAGACATAGAGTAGTTACGAGATGTATTCCTGTGCTTTGTCTTTATTAACGATCTGAACTCCTGGAGAAATAATCATATTATCAATATCCATCCTATTATTCCTTGTATTCATATATATCTTGCTGCTGTTGCTCCAGGTGCTCCATGGCAGCTCTGGCTTTCTGTGGGATATTTCCTACATGTTCCTGATAAGGATCTAATTATTTCTTCCAGCTGCAGCAAATCTTGTAGGTCCAGGTAAATCTCGTGGTGTAGGAACTAAGAGGGAGGAGAAAAGTTCGATGCCAGGGATCAGACTTTGATCTTTCAGGGATTGGATCTTTCCCACTGTTGGTTGCTTCTTGAATAAATCTGAAAGAGCTTTCATTTTATTTAAAAGGCTTTTATTGATCAAAAAGGCTCTGTCTCCTTGAGTGGCTGAAGCAGGTTTAACTCGTGGTAGAAGTTCTTATTTGAGTTTGTTTTTACCATCTTGGTTGATGCACAATTTTGTGCTTTTTTTTTAAAGGTAACTGGGAAACATTCACATGGTTGGAGACAGAAAAAAAAAAAAAATAAGTGTAGGTTTCCTTCCAGTCCATTAATTTTCTTTCATGGAGCTCTGTACCAGTTTGAGAGCACAATTGGGAGGAATCAAAACACAGACATCTAGACCATTACGTCAGATCAAAAAGGGAACAGATTTGTTTTGAAACTGGGTCTGATGCATTTGTCCGAAGCCATGAACGTTTCCGAGACCTCAGAACATTCTTGCTGTTCTGCCTCAGGATGAAACTTAGATCATGTGAACTCGGGAGAGAGATCCCAAAATATTTGAAACCATTTCAGTGACTGCAGCCCTAATTCAAAGTCCTTTGCCGGGTGAGGCCAAGCAGGGATTTGAACCTGATTTTCATGCGCGCTCTTTTCTTCTCTTTCCTCCTTTTAACGTCTTATATTAAAGAAACCATCCCCATGGATTCCATAAAAACGGATTTATCCAGGTCAGACACGAATTTTTTATAAGTGACCCCCTGTTTTGTGTCCAACCACCCCCCACCCCTGAAATAAATACATAGATTAGGGGTAGGGAATTGGAAAGTCCCATAAAACAATTTTTTTCTGTGTTGCCTAATAATTTGTATTATTTTACAATAGTTTAAGTTGTTTAAGTTACAACTCTTTCTAACTGAACCTCTGTGCAGTGTAAAGGACAGAGAGCAGGGTGGGAAGATGTAGAGTTTGGGGGACAGCATCCATCCAGTGGGTGGCTTTGCTGGGTTCATTGACCTCTTGTAGCCTGTCCCCATGGCTTTTAGGACCAGGCTGCAAACTGGACTGAGCTCCTTGTGCTGCCAATCACTCGCTGTCCTGGACAGAAAAGGAAACAGCAGCTCTGCTTCCGTGCTCCGGATGCTGAGTCACCTGCGTGGTGGCAGAAAATAGCCCAGGGGCTGCTGTTTGCCCAGAGTGCCTTGGGGAGGTTTCATCAGCTCTGCTGGGCTTGGGCAAGTCAAACTGCAGAGCTTTCAGCCCTGGGGCCAGTCTGTGGTTACTCACACAGTGCCCCGGTGCCCGAGGTGCCCGTCAGTGATGAGTAACTTCTTGTTCACAGTTTGTTTGAAAGCCAGTGGCAATATTTGGTTGGTTCGAGTTGCTGTTCCATTGGTGCACAGTGTCAGTTCAAGCCTGTTTTGCTGGAAATGTGTTCCAGCTCGTCTGTCTCTTCTCTGTGCCTGCTCCCAAAGCCTGAGCTGGTCCGTGGTGGGGGTGATGAGCTGTCCCACTGCTGTGTTTGCTGTCCACTACCAGGGTTTCACCAGATGAAGGAACCACTGTTCCCAAATTTCTGTGCCCACTGTCACCAACCATCCTGGTTCAAGCCAGGGCCACTTTCTCTGGCTTTATGGAGCATTTCTGTGCTCTCTGCCTGCTCTAGAGGGTTCCAGGTGCCTTCAGACCAAGAAACCCTTCAGAGAAGCATCACTTATGGTGCTGTATGTGCCGTGGTACTTCTTATTGTCAGAGCTGCCCTAGTGAGCA